CTGCCAAAAGGAATGAAGCCAAACAGACCACTTGGCAAAAGCAAAGACACTAGAAATGAAAACTGGAAACTCAGCCCTGTCAACTCTGCAAAATCCTCCTTTCCAACATCTGGGGGTTTGTGCCAAAAATAAGAGAATTGACCCATGTCTGGTTAAGCATCGCATGATATAGTTATTATGATAGAATCATACCTTCAAGACATTGTCCCAGATACTATCATTACCATTGCTGGGTATATCCTATCCCAATGACAGTGTTAGTTATGGCTGCATGGTTGTATACAGTCAGACTTGGCATTGCCCTAGGAGTCCTCAATAGTGACTCCAGAACTGATGAAGTCTCATGGAATCAGGTCAGACATAGTCAAGGAAACGTCATGCTGATTACCCCCTGCTGCATTCCCCTCAGCTGATGAATCAGGACTCCTGGATTTTGAACACCACTTGGGAGGAACAAACTGAGGGTGGCCATGGCCCTGAATGTGCTCTGGGTGGGGGACAGCAATGACTATCTGTCTTGGATCCAAGTGGTTCTTTTCAGATTTGGGTAAATATAATTAAGAGAGGGCCAAACAACAGCAATTTGCTTAAATATGAATGTTTAATTAAGTAATAATAATAATTATAGTGGTAATAATAAATGGAAGAGAAAAGACAGTAAAAAACAAGTCTCATGCCCTTCTGGAAAAAGCAACAGGTCTCACACCCTCCTGTCCATCTGATGCCCCCAAATCGATGGCTGGTTGTAGAGGCTTAAGTCTGTTCCTGGTACCATCCGCGATTCCGAGCCGAGGCGAAATCCCGTGCCTTGGAGCGAAACTCTCTCTCTCTCTTATACAGTGTAACAAACAGCCAGCAAAAAGAAGACAGGTACAGAAAGACAAAACTGCTGGCTGGTACAGAAAACACAGGTCGGAAAAGAAGCTGCAGGTGTCATCTTCAGCTCGTAAAGGAATGTTCACAGGACTCATCCAAGGTCATACAGCTTGTCAAGTATCATCCTAAACTTTCCCAGCCTATTTTCACATCCTGTACAATCTATTTTCCATGCAGCTATTCAATATCATCATAATCTTTTAGTCTTTCAGCCCATCCTATACACCATCACCAAGTGTGGCTTGGTAGCACTAATACTAACTGAGCTGGCACAGTCCTAAAGTGGTAATGTTCAGAATACATATTTATATTCAAGGACTATACGGGAGAGAAATTGAACATACGGACTGAAGTAGATATTTTCTGAATTGAAAAGCATTCACTATGTTGTTTTATTAAGGAAGGAAGTCAACAACTGGTCAGAAAAAAAACTCAAGTGAGCTTGGAAAAAGTTAAGCAAAGACTTCAGGGAGATAAAAGATGGGCTTTAGGGCCCTAAATTACTAGAAAACTTGCTTTTGAAAAGACCAAGGGGCGTTTATCCTAATGGTTGTCTAGCAATCCTTACTGAATTTAGTTTTCTGTTTTTCAGACCTCAGTAGTCAGTAAGGAGACATCCCAATTGCTGCAAAACTTCCACTTTCTCAGTATAAGTTGCTAAGAACTGGATAAGGTTTCCAAATCCATTATTTCTGACCTAGTAAAACCTGAAAAGCTGGACTGTGACCACATTCCAAAGACTCGGATCCAGGGTGATTAATATCAGAACTGAATATGTTCTTGTTTTACAGCTATCAACAATTCACTTTCATTGGCAGGAAGTCCAGTGGACTATATGGTGTCATCACATTCCATTCTTTGTTTTCAGACCATTAGCAAACAGAGGCTTTTTAATCCCTTTTTGTGAAAACCATCATCTCCACAGATTGTTGTCTTTTAGTGTTGTAGGGGCTGCATCTGTGTTTGTGATTAAGGGAATGTAGTTTTAATTCTGGATCACAGTTTAGTTGTCCACTTATTTTTCCACTTATTTTTATGCATATGATTTATGTTATAATTATTTTCAGTTCATTAAAGAAGATTGGTGCAGGTCATTTTTATTCTGGAGAATAGAACAAAAGAGAATAAGTTGACCATTTTGGTAATTAAATCAATATATTTGTATACATATATTAATAGTGTGACTGACAGAGTAGTGAGATTGATTATATGTGCACTCCTCCTGTAGTGACCGTATTGATAGTTGCTTGACTGGGCCTATACTGGATGAGGAGGATCACAAAAATGCCCATCCTCAATGAATTAGCACATTAGTGCAAAAAAAAGGCCTAAGCAATGGCCATTTCCAACAAGGGAGAACCTGACCACTGCCCCTTGACATTTATTGGCATTGGCATCATTGAATTCCACACAATCAACATCTTAGGGGCTACCAACACTGCTGTTTCCTCATTTCTACAGGCCCTTGCACAGCAGAAGGCACCTTATCTGTTTGGATTTGAGAGTACACCTGCCCAATACAGCTGGCCTCTGTCTCCCTGGGCTGTCATCCTCATTGTAGGAGATGTCTCCTCTAGCATGCATTATGCCAGTTTGAAGAAAAGCCTTTGAGCATTGCTGCCTCTTCCATACTGTGACTGCCCATGAAAATGTGACCTCCAAGGTCATCTGGAATAAGGCAATGGGAAAAGCATGCAGCATAGTGTCAGCTGAATTTGGGTGGATTTTACAGCAGTGAGAAAGCAAACCTTGTAAAAACAAAAGAGCACAGAATAACCAAAATATCAATCTACAGACATTGCCTGCTGGGTGAGTCAGTATGGCTTTGAATATTTTAGTACCTGCTCCACAGAGATGAAATAAGACTTAAAATAAATTGGATTTTCTTCCAATTTCATCTGGATGGGTATATGAATAGGAGGGGTTTAGAGGGATATGGGCCAAATGCTGGCAAATGTGGCTAGATTTGTATAGGATATCTGGTCAGCACGCACAGTTGGACCAAAGGGTCTGTTTCTGTGCTGTATATCTCTATGACTCTGCAATGTGTTTTTTTTTTGCTAAAGAGAATATAGACTTTTGGAGAAATATCTTTTTGTATTGCTGTCTCTTGTGTTGGGGAGCTGGAACTGACGATGTAAAATCCAGGCTGTTATCATTTCTGGTTGATCACCCTTCAGTTCTGATGAAGGGCAACAGACCTGAAAAATTAATTAATTCTCTCCTTAGTTCCTTCCAGACTTACTGAGTATTTCCAGTATTCTCTGGTAATACTTAGCACAAAGAAAGATTGTTGTTGTTGAAGGACAATTATCTCAGTGCTAGGGCAACACTTTAGGAGTTCCTTGGGGAAGTTGTGTTGTTAGGGATCAATTACCTCAGTCCCAGATATTTACTAATCACCTTTTTTGCTGAGTATTTCCAGTATTTTTGGTTTTAAGCTCAGGTTCTAGTACCAGCAGTATTTTGCTTTAGGATTAAGAACTGGCAGCCCAGCCTCAGACTGCTCCGACCAACCTTGTCCTGCGAGCTTGTTTTAGACCAGTTATGCATCACTGCAGAGGTTAAATCCTGTTCCTGTGTGCGCAAATTCGAGGAATAGAGTCAAGCCATTCGGCCCCTCAGATTTTTAAATTTGACATCTCCTTACTATCAAAGGGGACTTTATCGACTATCCCCAGCAATTGCAGAGATTCAGATTTGGCAGCCTACCCCCACCCCCCATTCGCCCCAATGAAACATTGTGAATTTGGTATTCTCTGGCTAGTATAGCCCTGTGTATTTACGATCAACGCAAACAATTGAAGCTCACGCTATTTCACTGGAATAAGACATCGCCTCCACATCAGAGTGACAAGTAAATCTAGGGCAGGAGAGGGGCTGTCTGCGACAGGTATAAGAATGACCTCAGGCATTAGCAGCCGTGTCTCCTTGCTTCCCTGTAGTGGAGGATCAGGGAAATGGCAGTCAGTCCCATTCTGAACGGCAATTTCCTGTGGTCAAACAATTCTTTGCAAAGGGACAGAGCGGTGTCTGAATCTGGAAAAACAATCATTGGGATCTATCTCCTGATTCTAGGTGGGTGTGAACTTTATCTAAAGACTGTACAATGTGTTGGTCTATATTCTGCTAGGGCATATGGCATTAAAATAGAGCAACTGCTCTAAAAATCAAATTAAAGCTCATTTCAATTACAAAGCAAAGCATTAGAGATAAATGTAGCTTTTATTCTGTAGTGGATCTTGCGAAGACGGAGTTGCATTAATTTACAACCAGAGTCCGTCCCCTGACACATTTTGTACATGCATGTTGATTGATTGATTGATTGATTCTTTGAGAATATTTTTTTAAGATAGCTAGTGCCTGTTGGCAACAATATTTCCAATAAAGTGCTTAGGATTTATTTGTTGTGTTTTGTGGGACATTTGCAAGAAAAATAGCAGCGGATCGGATTTATACCTGAGAGAAGTTGAGTCTTTTGTGGGCAGTGTTCGTTCCATTGAGAAATTCTGATCTTGAATCTCAGCTACCAAGATGTGAACCTGCTTCCAGTGAAATGTATAGTGTCACTTCAGGATGGAATCATTTAAAGCAGTATCATTGACGGGGGAAAAAAAGGATGGTTTCACTATCCGTGGGCTCGGGAGAATAAAAATCAGTCAAGTTCATAACACAAAAAAAAACTTTTATGTGTGATTGTCAGATGAAATCATACTGAGCTGGGAAGCGTACAGTTGCACCGTGCGCTTAAAAGAGCAAAGGTAGAAAGCAGAGGGGAACGTCACCTCCTGCAAGTGTCCCTCCAAGTCACCACCATCTGTCTTAGAACAGTATCAACTAAGTAACTGGGTCAAAATCCCGAGCAGTTCTATGGGGAGCTCTACATTACATGGTCTGCGGCTATTTGAGATGGGGGATTGTAAAGAGAAATTAGGGACAGGCAATAAATACTGGCCTTGTCAGTGACACTCCTATTCCATGAACTAATTTAAAAACTCCGTCAGTCTCCAATGTGAATGTCACATATAATGTGAAGAATGGTCATTTAAATGAAGTTTTGGTGAAAAGATGGTATCCTTAGTAACCGCGTATTTCATTCTGATGTAAGTTTTTTTTAAAAATAGAGGTCATCAGGCGAACAAGCTCGTAGGAATTACTGTGTCAGACACTGTAAGAAAGCTTAACTAATTTATATAATTGAAGCTGAAGGATTCAGGGTGACTTATTGCTTCTCGGAAGCTGTAATCAAATCCACCAAGGCAATTTGCAATAAAGTGATGTAGTATTTGATTTTTAAAAGTATGCTCATTATTTACAATCATACAAGGTATTAATTTAGTTGACCATTCCAAATCAAATATTTCAAATCTGCTTCCAAATAAATATTAATTATTTCTAAGTACCATGATTGGTGGTCAGCTGCCATAGCTGTATAATTAACAAATACATGGCGAACACCGCTTGGAAGAGACACGAGGGCCAGCACAGGTATAAAATACGTTTTGGGTGAGAACTTTAAAGTTCCTCACTAACATGCCTCGGCAAAACCACTGTTAACATAGCTCCTTTGGTCCTGAAAGACATATCTGTCGAACTGAACCCGTAGCAGGTCGTGAGGCAACCTGTGTCATGACCCAAGCGGATGTTATTACTGGACAAATTATAAGCAAGGATGAAATTTAACTTGATAAATCATATTGTGTTTTTTTATTTAATGCATTGGCCTGTTACTGAAACATAAACGAACAAGCCTGCAGATTTGTTTTTAACAGTTAAGTGGAAATTTATTACACAGAAGAAATGAAAATAAAGTAGAACTAAGTCATTTACATAGAGCACAATTTAAAAGATGTTGAAACATATGACAGAAAAATATTCCATCCAGCCCAACACCATTACTTTAAATTACTCAAGTGGCAGAGAGAGTTCCTTTTCCATCGCATCTATTGGTTTGATTTAAATGTTTCAATTCCCAGTCTTGAAACCTTGATAGCCCTTCCCTTCATTACACACAAGTAATCATTCAGGAGATTGTTCTCTCTAGTAACATCCCAGTAGAGATGAAATCTTCGTCAGCACACATTTAGTGTTTATCATGTTTGAATGAAAGGTAATGTTTTCCAAAACCAAGACTCCACATACACAGCAAATACCTTGACCCTCATCTGCCTTGACCATCACTGCCCAACATCATGTATCCTAACTTAGTGCCCAGGACTTCTGCTACAAAACTAGCGACACCACTGACCAAGCTCTTTAAATAGTTGCTTGGTGGTACAGAAGGGAGACAGAAGCAAACTCAGTGTTTTGCATGTAACATTCAAGTTGTAATGTGAAGACAGACAGTGGTATTGTGTACAAAAACAAAGTTGCTGGAAAAGCTCAGCAGGTCTGGCAGCATCTGTGAAGGTAAAAACAAAGTTAATGGTTCAGGTCTGGTGACCTTCCTCAGAATGCTGCCAGACCTGCTGAGCTTTTCCAGCAACTTTGTTTTTGTTCCTGATTTACAGCATCCACATTCTTTCGGTTTTTATTTAGTGATATTGTGTAATCGGGTCTCAGGCAGAATTTTCAAGAATAGTTGAATAGCACTGTGTAGTTAGGACTCAAGGAAGTCCTCAGCGCCAATTAGTACAGCTGAACAAGATTAGAGCTCAGAAAAAAAAGTCCAGGGGAAGGACTTTATTGGTGAAGCTGACTTTCTCTGAAAAGTTGGAGTTGTGCCTGTGAGTCGGCACTGAGTGTATTTACCACAATCCAGGGGAGTGTTGACCCAGGGAAGAAAGTAAACTACCAGAAAGTGAGCAGTCATTGAACCAGTACATGACAGACTGGCTTCTGCGGGAGTTGCAAAGCTTGGTCCTTGAAAGAGAAAGACTACAATGCCTTGTAAATGTTTAATGAAATGTGAGGACGCACAGTGTCACGATAGTCTGAGGAGACGCTGAGAAATTCATGCGAAATGTCTGGACCATGTTTGCTCTTTATTTTTTTCTGTAGAGTGTCCAACCACAGTTTCTCTGTTACCTGTATTTACCTCAGGTTAATTCTGAATATGAGGCTTTAAGTATTTTTATATACTGTGGATTGTGTTATTGTCTGAACTCTTGTGTGCTAAAGTCAATTGATGTGTATCCAAACTTTTGGAATCTTGTGATTTTAGTCTCTTAGTCAGCACATAGAAGCTTTAATGTAGCCTAATTTTAAAATAAAAATTGGTCCATAGTCAGATTGTAACTTGAACTTGGTGATCTGGTCCAGGATAAATAAGCCAATTATGCCTCATCAGTTCTCAATCATCAGCAAAGTTGTGGAAGGAGCCATCAATAATGCTATCATGTGACATTACACAACAACAACCTACTCCTTGATGCTAAGTTTGAGTTCTACCAGGATCACTTGGCTCATGACTACATCACAGCAGTTATCAAAACATGGATGGAAGAGCTGAATTCCAGAGGTGCATGAGGTGAGAATATATGTCTTTAACAGCATGGCAACTTTTGACCAAGTCTGGATCAAGAAGTCCTCTTTAACAAAATTGAAGTCAACAAAAAGCATGGGGTAAGTTCTTCTCTGGTTCAAGTCATACCTAGCACAAAAGACGATGGTTATGAATTTTGAACTCCAGTTGTTTCAGTACCAGGATGTCGCTGAAGGAGATCCTGAGGATGACATCCTAGACCCAACTATGTTCAGCTGCTTCATTAATAACTTAAGTTAGAAATGGGAATGTTTGCTAATCACTGTTCATTATCAATACCATTCACAATTTCTCAGATACTGAAGGTGTATCCTCAAATATGTTGCATGCAGCAAGATCTGAACAATATCTACATTTGGGATGATAAGTGGCAAGTAAATGGCACACAAATGCAAAGTGTTGACCAATAAAAGAGAATCTAATCATGTTCCCTTGATGTTCAATAGCATTACCATTTGTTGAATCCAACATTATGACATCATAAGATTACATGGAAGAGGAGCCAAAATAAACCATTTGGCTATCAATGTTGTTCCACTGTTCAACAAGGACATGGCAGACCCATCCTGGGGGTGATACTGTTGACCTGAAAGATCAGCCATATAAGTACTGTGGCCACAAGAGTAGGTCAAAGGCTGGAAAGACTGTGACAAGTGACTCACCTCCTTTCTCCCCAAAGCTTCCATTTATAAGGCACAAGCAAGGAATGTGACGGAACACCCTCCACTTGCCTCAATGAATACAACACCAACAATACTGAATCTCAAAATCATCCAGGAAAATGTAATCCACTTACTAGGCACCACATTCGCCACCTTAACAATATTCATTCAATCCGTCCAATATTACTGTACTGTGGCAGCTGCATCTAGAATCAACTCAATAATCTTCCTTCAAAAGCACTTTATAAACTCATAAACACTACCACCTTGAAGAGTAAGAGTATAGGAAGCAATTTGCAAGCTCCCCTCCACATTCCTAACTTGGAACTATATCGGCGTTCCTTCTCTGTCACTGGGTCAAAATCCTGGAGATCCCTCCCTACCAGTACTTAGTCCAAATGGACAGCTGTGGTTTAAGAGGTGATTTGCCACCACCTTCTAAAGGACTGTTAGAACGGGAAATAAATGATGGGCTTACCTGCGACACTGAAGTCCCTTGGAAAAATAATCCATGGTGCTGAGATTATTGTGGGCAGTAAGTTCAGAGAGGAGGACACAATGCATGTAAAGACTAAACAGGCAGAATAGGGATAGGGAGCACCAGGCAGAGTAGTGGAAGGCAGGTAGCGCAGGGGTCCCCTATGGTTGCCCCCTCTCTAACACATGTACCAGTTTGGACATTGTTGGGGGAAATGACCTCTCGGGGAATAGCAGTGGAAGTGAAATCAATGGCTACACATGTGGATCTGCTACATAAGATGGAAGGAAGAAGAGTGGAAGGACTATCGTGATATGCGTTTCAGCAACCGGGGGAACAGGTAGTTGTTTCTCAGCCACAAAAGTGACTCCAGGTTTCTATGCCACCTCCATGGTGCTGTGGGGGAGGGTTTAAACTAGAATGGATGGAGATGGGAACCTAAGCAGAGAGACAGAGGAGGGTGAAACACGGATAGAAACAAAAGTCAAAAAGGTAAGAAGCGAAATTGGAAGGCAGCAAGAAAACATGCCCAAAAGAACAAGTGGGGCCATTGTGCAAAACAAAACTAAGATGACTAATAAGGTTAAAAGACTAGTCTAAAGATAGTTTGTTTTAATGCACACAGCATTCACACTAAGGTAGCTGAATTAGCAGTGCAAATAGATACAGATGTTTATAACATAGTTGTAATTGGAGAGACATGACTTCATTGGTGACCAAGGATGGGAGCTAAACATGCAGGGGATTCATTATTTAGGAAAGACAAACAACAGGGAAAGAAGGTGGAGTAGCATTGTTAGTAAAGGAAGAAAATCAAGGCAATAGTAAGGAACAATATTGGTTCATAAGATCATGATTAGGATGAGTGAGACAAGAAACACCAAGGGTCAGAAAATGTTGGGTATTGACGATGGCCCTCCAAACAATAGTGGAGATGTAAGGAAAGGCATTAAGCAAGAAATCAAAGATGCACATAGTAAGTGTACGATTGTAATCACTGGAGACTTTAATTTACATATAAATTGAACAAACCAAATTGACATTGGTATTGAGGAGGAGGATTTCCTAAAGTATATAAATGATGGTTGTTTAGACTAATAGTTGAGGAACCAACTAGAGAGCAGGCTATTCTAGACTGAGTACTGTGCATTGAAAAAGGATTAATTAACAATCTTGTTGTGCTGGGATCCTTGGGAAAGAGTGACCATAATATGATAGAATTCTTCATTAAGATGGAGAGTGAAGTAGATGAATCCAAAAGAAGGGCACTGAATCTAAATAAAAAGAACTATGAGAGTATGAGGCATGAACTGGTAAAGACAAACTGGAGAAACATACTGAAGGGGTTGGATAGGCAATGGTTCATATTTAAAGAACGTGTGCATGAGTTACAACAATCATTCTTTCCTGTCTGGTGCAGAAAGGAAAGAGGGAAAGTGGCTCAAACATGGCTTACAAAATAAATTAGGAATAGCATTTGATTCGAAAAGGAGACATGTAAAATTGCCAGAAAAAGCAGCAAGCCCTGAAGATTGTGAGCATTTTAGAAGTCAGCAAAAA